TGGATTTCTTTAAACTTTGGAAGCACTAATATATTTGCAAGCTTTATCAATAAGACACACAATGATTAGTGATGAAGCCTTGCACCTGTCCCTGTCCTCGGGGTTTCAAGTGTCTTCTCTCCCCACCCCCCCAGGATGTAACTTGCCTTGGAGATTTTCTGTTCAGATTTATATAATTTGTTTTGTATAAGTATCAGTATTCATGGATACATACCCTCCTCTCCTTACTCAAAGAGTATAATTGCTGGGATTCTCCATCTTGACTGTTTTCCTCCTTGACAATATGAAAGAATGGGTTTTTAACAATCAATTTCACATAGTCACTAGTGATATTTGGGACTTGGGATTCCTTTTTTCTGCCTCTTACACCAGGAAAGCTACAGTACCAAATTCCCCAGTTGATTGCTTTTATTCAAGTATCTGAATGCAAACCTTGATATTTTCCCAATAATCACATCTAAATTAAGGACATTTTACTTCACGTAGGTGCCATGCCAGCTTGCAAGAAAGAGTTCCTCAAATGATTGAGGTGCAAAGTTCAACCAAATTTCGCTCTCTGCATCCCCCAGATATTTCATCTTCAGCTGGTATTTTTTTTTTTTTTTTGGTGGTACCAGGAATCAAACTCATGACCTCACACTGGCAAGACAGGTGCTGTGCCTATGAGCTACATCCCCGGCTCTAGTTGGTATGTTTTTAAAAAGGAGCTGGCATTCAACATAAACAAATGCTCCCAGACATTTGACTACACTGTCACGTCACTTTTCAAGATAATCCCTTACTTTTTCTATCAATTTATGAATGTTCCATTTTCTCAGACTTAATTATATCTTTCAAGTCACTTCTGTGTAAATACAGCTATTTTCTTTACAATATCCCTCTCTGTGAAGAATCTTAAGAAGTTTGGACTTTCCACTTAGATGTCCAACTTGCAGGTCTTTTGACCTTCTGTTCCCAAAAAAGCAGCTTTTGGAGGCAGAATTTGTTTCTAATCCCTCATCTTCTGCAGACTTCCCCATCTCCTGTCATTCTTGTTCAAGAAAGGGAGAAGCCACATGAGTATTGCTTGCGGATGATTCCGGGCTCTCCACAATGATACAAACGCATTGGGAAATCACCTACTTCCCAGGTGAGCTCTGAGCTGATTCATGAGAAATAGTAAAACAGGCTCAGCTCTACCCTTCCCAATTATGAATGTTGGCCTTCATTCAGGTTTGAGTCACTCACATTTTATTCATAAATGGTGGTGAGAAAATTCAAAATAGAAAAGTACAAATTTTATAAAAGGGAAGAAAATATTCTTTGATAGAATTTCTCACTTACTGAACGGTTTTTCCAGCTTTTACAATGAAATGTCTACTTCTTGGGACTCCTTCCTCTGAAATGGTCGTCAGACCTCTGGCAGCTTCAGATTATGTTTATCACTTATATAATTTTAGCCTGTTCTTATGCTTTGCCTTTAATAACTCTTTTCTTCATTAAACAAAACGTTCATGGTGTGCTTCAGATTGGTATAAAATATGATTTAATTACTGCAGAAGTTTTTGATTCAGTACCTCAGAGATTTGCTCCGTAAGCATAATTGTTAACCGCTAGTTTTCATTCCCTCTAAAGCACTGCCCTACAAGTCTTGAAATTATTTGCTCTTTCTAAATGCCTTTTGGCTGCTTTCAGTAAGGCAAATAGCTTGCAGAGACATAACAGTCTGTTTGTCTGCATGACAGTTAAAATATCAGTCTTGATTTCAAGAGTATTTTCATCTGATTCACTGACCCAAGGATAAAGTAAGTATATTTCCAAGAGAAGTAAATCTGTCAGGACCTCTTTGCTGCGATTATTGTTATCTTAATTGCAAATACTTTATCTGTAAAATAAGCTTGATTTTGACTACACATTAAACATGAAGGGAATATTGAATTTTATAGGATAATGGCCAAATTAACTTGAAACATCTCATACATCAAGGCAGATTGCTTATTTCCTTTGGTGCCTGGCCCCTTCAAATATCACTCCAGACTTTATATGGTAAATTCTCTTGAGTTTGTTATTGTATAACCTTTTTAGGACCACATTTCCTTAACTTCAAAATACGGATGATTATAGTACCTACATTATGGTGATGTAATAAAGATTGAATTACCATGTGAAATAAATACCAGGTTTACTACATCCATTTTCATTTGAGCTTCTTTTTATCCCTACAAAATAAATGTTGATTATTTTTCTGTAATTTTTTTCAAGCAAAAACAAAGCAAGATTGCTCTACAGATTTCTGCCTTCCCACCATACCAAGAAAACCAGAGAAATTAAATTATGTATGCCAAGCATGCAAGAAGGACCCATTTCCATGTGCATTATTACTCTTTAGTTATTCCACAATAATGTGGACAGTATGAAAGAGCCATTTTTAATGTGTTTATCTAACGCTAACATATATCATCCTTGAAATCACATATACTTATTTGCATTCATAGATAAGATGAAATGGAAGCAAAAGATGTAATCTGAGGGACTAGCAAGTGACACGGTAAAACTTCATATGCAGGTGAAAGAAAATTGATGTCAGATCCATACTTGATAGGTCTCCCGAAGTAGATGTCTAACATTTTTATTTCACTTAGTGCAGTTTGATCCCAAATTTATAATGAGTGTATTTTTGTTTAGGGGTGCAACTGTGATTAGCAAAAATATGAGAGAGTAGATGTAAAACATTTTTTAAATGGAAACCAAAATGTTAACATTGCTTATACCTTTGTGACAAAATTGCAAGTAATTTGATTTCTTTTTGAGTTGTTTCTTCACTCATTAAATGTCATATAATTTAACTTTGCTTTTTACTTTTTAAAAGTTATATAATTAAAGCCGTCAACTGTAAAAAATGACAGTTACACAAAAAGTTAGCAATTTAAAAAGCATATTTAGTGTTAAAAAAAAAAAAAAAACCTTTGGGCTAGGAGTATAGCTCAGTGCTAGAGCACTTGCCTTGCGTGCACAAGGCCCTGGATTCCATTCCCAGCACCTCAATCAATCAGTCAGTGAATCTTAAAAAGCTTCATACACTTGTATTTCATTAGTTTTAATCATTGCTAACACTAGTGAGGAAAATAAGTAATTTACATTTTCAGGGTTTTGGTATCATCCTGAATGCTCTATCTGGAGTACATTTTTTCTACATGTGGTGTATTCTAATTTTGAACCCTGCATATTTTTGCCTGAGTTTCTAAAAGTATAACTTACTGTGAATGTGTATACCAGCTCTAGTAAGTAATACAATATTTCTCATAACACATCCCAATTCATCTTAGAATCATGGAATATTACAGTAATAATGCACTTTAGAGAATTCCAAAGTGAAAGTGTTGACTGCATCACTGCCATACCCACAGAGTATTTTAAAAGGTTATATGACTAAGTAGATACAATGTAGGACTATAAAATATACAGCTTTAGTGCTCAGAGCCTTTCTTTGTGTGAGATTTGGTGTAGTATGTAAATGCAGTGCCCTTATAGAACATCTGAGTTTGAAATCCCCGATGTAGTCCAGTTCCCTCAGTTTGCGCATTTGAGTAATGATCTAACTCTCTTCCCAACACCCTTTTTACCACTTTGAATTTTAAGGCCTCGTTGATGCCAGAGATTTAAATGAAATCAATAACGTATAATAGCTCCATCTAAATATATATGCCTCTAAGAAAAGCATTGCTCAGTTGAAACATGGAAATTGGAGTGAAGAACTAGGATTATAGCTCAGGGACAGAGTGCTTGCCTTGCATTTGCAAGGCCCTGAGTCCAATGCCAAGCATTCAAAGATAATTAAAGTTAAGTACAAAAGAAAAAAATGGAGTCAATGTCAATAGCATTGAGATTAACAGTGGTCTTTGTACCAAGGTATGGAATAGATTAGCCATTTTGAAGCACTGATTTGAATACAATATGTAAAAAATGATTATAATCACTACCATTTATTATTTGTTTGCCACGAACTCAGATGTATTATATGTAATCACATTCAATGCTCAGGTAGCCTATGAAGTAGATTTGTATTATCCTATTTTACAAGTGAGAGAACTAAGGCTTAAAGGAATAGCTTGCCCAAATCTCATACCTAGTAACTGGGTCAAATTTCTTTTGTATCCTTTAAGTATTTCCCCAACAAACATTAAAGACTTGAACCATTAGGATTTTCATTTAAGATTACAGTCCAGGTTTGCAAGTATCCTAATAATAGTTTCTATACTACCATGAGTTCTCTACTAGGAATAATAATTTTGACCTTCAGTCAAAATTAGTGTATTAAACTCTTCAGGGAGAGAGGGAGCTAGGGAAGAATGTCTAGTGAAAGGGGACCCCAAATAGAACCATGAGAAAATAAAGCGTCTATCTGTGGAATGTAGATATTGAAAAGTTACCGCACCCTAATTAAGTAAACACTGTTAATGATGATGGGATTGCATGATGCGAACCTCAAAGTTGGATATGGAAAGACACTAACTTCTATTTTAAGGGTAAATTATCTGGTATACTCTGATAAAGGGAAAGCCCTCCTTCCTTATTTTTCACTCAGGATGTCCTAGCTGAAAATGTACATATCTCGAAGTTTTAAAAAAGAGTCTGTGTTCTGACTATTTTAAGGAAGATCTAGGGTAGCACATTAATGTACAGATAATCCCCGACTAATAATGGTTCGACTTAACTGAGGCCCGGTGCTATACTGTGCTACCAACTGTAATGTTGAATAGGTTAGATTTGTTGAATCCATTTTCAATTTCATGGCATTTTCTATTTACAAGGGTTGCTTTGGGACATAACACCACCCCAGTCAAGGAGCTTCTGTGTTTATAGTTTCTTGTCATAGAAGAGAGACTGTAAGTCATTTGAACTGACAGATGCAGTTCTAGTCTTTTATTCATTGTGTTCATTGAATCCAGATAGTTGTTCATCTGATGTTTCCGATCTTTTGATCACACTGATTTTTGATGTGTTTTGTTTTGTATTTTCAGAAGGAGTTTTGGAACACCTACACGAAAGCACACCAAGGAGAGAGTAACAGAGGAAGTGACTGGTTTCAGTTTTACCTTACCTTTCCATTAATCTTTGGCCTCTTCATTATCCTCCTTGTCATTTTCTTAATCTGGAGATGCTTCCTACGAAACAAAACTCGCAGACAGACTGTGACTGAAGGCCACATTCCTTTCCCTCAGCACCTTAATATTATCACTCCGCCTCCCCCATCAGACGAAGTGTTTGACAGCAGTGGATTGTCTCCAGGCTTTCTGGAATATGTAGTTGGGCGCTCAGATTCTGTTTCCACTCGCCTGTCCAACTGTGATCCACCACCGACCTATGAGGAAGCCACCGGCCAGGTGAACCTGCGAAGGAGTGAAACAGAACCTCATTTAGATCCACCACCAGAATATGAAGACATAATCAACTCCAGCTCGGCCAGTGCCATTCCTATGGTGCCTGTGGTCACCACCAACAAATGAAGCTGCAAACTTCTTTTTACTCTAATCATTTTTAAAATACTAATGAAAGAACTTTCTAGCACTTTACCACTGCATAAATGTACTCTGACTTATTTTGTTAGACTCTTACAGCATACCACTTCACCCTTACTGGTCTGATTTTCTTTAGTTGCATTTCCCATTATGAAATCATTACACACGGCCATTTTTGCTAGAGAAAACACACCAGTGGGGTTGCATATTCATGTGATGATATGTACATCAACCCAGTATATATGCAACTGGCCTAAAAAATTATTAACTTCTATCTAAATCACCTGCACAAAGAGCATTACTCACAAAAATTGGGAATAAAAAGGCATTGGCGATTTATGTAATAGATAGAATGCAATATGGTATAGACCTTTGCAAGAAGGATGTACTTAACATGTTTGCTAATTTGTATGGGCTTTTGTTAACCTCTGGTTTCTTCATCTATCTTCAAAAGAGAAAAAAAGTGTGGAGTCACTCTTGACTTTAGAAGTATTTCAGAAAGAAAGCATATACTCACAGTGAGGAATAACTTATTGTAGTGTACAGCAAGGAAATCACTGGACATATGTGATCCATGCCTCACTTCATACTAGGGGTTTTATTCTTCATTAAGTACTACCCCATAAATGAAATACTTTGGTTAGCTTAGCATCTTTGAATGTCTCATGCTATTCATATTAACATCTCAGTAGGGAGGATTTCTGGCAATAGAATAATTTCTAAGTGGATATATGTATCTAATAATAGACAATAGATATGGATTATTCCTTTGCTTTTGGGGGGCAGTATTTTCTTCTTCACATTTCATTGCCTTTTACTCTACTGTTTACGCTCTCTCCTACCACCACAGAATCTTCAGTCACCCAAGACTGAGATAGTTTTCTTAAAGTTTTTGCCTGAAGATTATCAGGAGACAATTTTCCATTACAATATGAGCTATTATTTTTTATTGCTCTTCAATTGGTGCAAAAAGATTGTAAAAGGTGTGTTATAGCAGATGGACGCTAAATCTAGTTATAGTCACACATAGATCTCATTATTGTTGCTATTTCATTTTGAATTTTAATTAGACTTTTTAAAACTACGGTGTTCTTGTTTTTTCTTTCGGGCAGAGGGAACTGACCATGAATGAACTGCCAATATAAACTCACTCAGAAAGGGAAAAAAGGATCAAATGAGATATTTTGTGTGCAAGTAATTTATAAAATATTAAGAACTATTCAAGCGTAAGATCCTTCTGTTACTATTGTGCTTCAGAGAGAATTTTCTTTTGTTTCTCCAAAATTGTGTGGAGCTTTCACATAGTGAGAAATGAAGCAAGGTGCTCCGTAAATGGCTAACATTGGTAATCAGAGTAGCTGGGCTGTTCCTTAATCCCTGCAATTCACTGATATGCACCAAAGCTGTGCAAATTAGAAGAGTGAAGAAATTTTGGGCAAAGAACTGAATGTATGAGTTGAGATAGTAGGTGTTACAGCTTTCATAGATTAAAATATGATCATATATTGAAAATGGTCTCAGAAATGACAATATTAGTTTGAATTATGCCATATATACATGGTGATCTTTGGTTTCTAATTAAATCTAAAAGTGGGGTGTTCCATCCAGCTCCAGTTTATGTATATGCGAAGTTTTGGGATTTTTTAAAAAGAAAATTAACGCTCTTTTCGTGTAGACTTTTGTCAGTAGCAACAGGCTTTACATTAGACCAGCAGTTTTCAAAGTGTGTCCCAAGGCTCCCTGGAGTTCCTTTAAAAACTTCCAGAGGATCTCTGAGGCCAAAAATATTTTCATCATAATTCTAGGACATTACTTGTCTTTTCACTCTAATTTTCTAAACAAAGAGTTGAAAATGTAAAACAATGTTTTTCTGTTTTAGAAAATATAGCTATTTTTCATATAAATGTTATTTATGTTGGCATATAATGGATTTTTTAGTTTTAAGTAAATTAACACTTAAAATTTTGGTTTATTTTCTAATATGATAAATTTTAATAGATATAGCTCTCATAAATTAAAGTTCTTGGCATCCAGATCCCCAGTAAAATTTAAAAGTATAAAGGGACATCTGGAGACAAAAAGTTTGAACACTACAGGATAAGACAAGGGAACCAGAAATTCTACAAATACAGTTTATTCTTACAACTTTCTTTTACATTTTAAACTAATATTGGATTTATTGCTGCCTCATAAAGACACCTGAATTACAGTATAAGAATGAATGCTGATCTTTGAAGCAGAAGCCAAATGTTTAACTGATCAATAGCTACAGATTTTTTTTAGGTTATTGGTGAAAGATATCACCACTCCATAGAAATAGTTACATCAGTCACAGGTCTCTTAGAAGCTTTTGCATGATAATGAGAATAAACAAAATACCACTTTCTTCAAGAAACGTTATCTTAGGCTTGTTTTCTTTGGATATGGGTTTTATATTTTTAAAATCCCTTTTGCTACCCAATCTGGTTTTATAAACTGAGTTTCTTAACATTTATTATAATTATAGGGCTTATCTGAAAAAAATATATATTTTTATGCTTTTGCCTTTCTTACCTGATTGATATTGCATTCACCTTTGATCATTTTTAATAAAGGTTTATTTTTGCATACTATATTTAGTACCTTTCTTAAGCAGTAACTTAATTGAGTCAACCAGTTTGTATTTAAATAAAAGAATGGGCTCAATGGTTTTTCAGTAGAATGACTTACAAACGTCCACATGAAGTGGTTGTCTGGAATCCTAGAACTGGCACTTTTTGATTCCCTGCTTTAAATGCCACAATAAATTTTATTTATTTAAAGTCAATAAAATGACTTTTTCTTTTCCTCTTGACCAACACAAATGGAGATTTTGTGCTTGTTTTATTGCTAATGATGGCTTCTTGAAGACTGATCTGATCCAATAATTGCTGAGATAGCTTTAACTTTGTTCTCCATAAATAGCATGTATTTTATTATAATAGTTCACATTTTTAAATGCTTGGTTTACATTAAATTATGGTATTTAACTATTTTTATGTTTATACTAAATAGAGTTTTTCTTGTTTCTGTGTTTTTGGTATGCTAAATAAAGCTATTTTTAAACCCAAGAGAGTTTTTCTGCCATGTGTCGGTTGTATTATGGCTAGGTGATAAACATTCTGCACAAGCCCTTATTAATTATCTTCTATTTAATAAAGTAAAGAGATTATTTTATTATGGATTTAGGGAATATCTCTCATTAAAGAAATCAGGAAATTGCCCACCATGGTGGCACATGCTTATCATCCTAGTACTGTGGAAGCTGAGGTAGGAGGGTCAATGGTACAAGGCCAACCTGGACACATAGCAAAACCCCCTTTCAAAAATGCAGCAAACAAAGAAAAAACAAGAGAAAAGGACAGAGGAAACTAATAAATCAGAACTCACCTGGTCAAAACCTCCGTTCTCACCATAAAAACAAAATAAACTTTATGTATTACTTTTAAATAACTGGCAAAATAGGAAACATTTGCTCCAAAGAAATAGATTGAGCTCCTTGCTGTAGGTGTTGTCAAGTCCTGAGAATGGTGGTTTTTACAGATACCAAAACGCTGGAGTTTGTTTCTTGCTTAACAGAACAGTTTGCCTTTGACAGGTGAGAAAATGAGAAATGAATGCGCACAGCAAAAACATTTTGGTCACAGGGCGTTTTCCTAAGTGTAGCTAGTGCATCATGTCATTAACCAAGAAAATGTAAATGAGTTTATGGTATAAAAGTTAAAATTATATACACTATATTCAAGAAGAAATTTTAAATATACATCATAAGTCTAGGTATCCATTTTGTAAGTATAAGTCACCAAAGAGTTGCCCAAAAATGCATTGAAAGTTATAACTTTAGCTTGATGCACACAACCATGAAATTGCACACCTATATTAAGACATCTTCTGTGCCAGAGGATTCCTCATGTGCTTTCCTTGAAGATAATTCTATGCTTAATCTGTCATAGCTCATTTTTTGAGAGTTTGTACTTGGTTATGGTCATATGGAGTTGCTTTTTACTTTTCATAAGCTCAAGCTATTTCCGAAATGTTCAAGCCTGATGTTCCTGAGTTATTTTTCCATCTCTCGGACTCACCTACCTCATTTTGCTGAGCCTCAAAATTCTTAAAGTTTTTCTCAAGTAAGAATTGTGTTAATCCTTTTAACTCCTTTCCTCACATACATTAAATTACTAGAAGTGATGACTTCTTTTTTTTTACAATATGAATTGATCATAGCATGAGTAACTTTCTGGCTGGTCTCCTTAATGCTTGTCTTTCCAAGGTGATAGTTATTGTTACTGATATTGATACTAATATTATTAGATACTGGGGATTTAAGACAGGTCTCCATGCGCCCTACTATCAAACCACATCCCTAGCCCCTACCCTTTACTTTTTATCTCATTCTGTTTCCTTAAACTTTGTATCATGACATTTTATACTCAGGAATTTTATTTACTTAGTCTGATTATATCTGTTTCTTGTTATTTCCAAAACACTGTATAACCTGGACCCATCATCCTTCCTAACCTTATTTTCTTCTATAGTTCAGATGATATATATTTCCAAAATTCTTACTTTGTGTGACAACATTCAGGGAACTAGAAAGTAATAGTGTTGACAGCTGATGTCCTGGGAATTTTGCAATCAGGCAAAAACTGAAATAACCTTCTTACTGTCTGAAGACGTTTATAACCCTAATTCCACTCTAGCACACAAAGTTTCTTACCCAGAGTCACATGGTATTGATAAGCAGTCACTTTTATAATAATCTTGTATATTAGTCCATTTAGTGGTTTTTATACCTTTTGCCTGTAAACTCAATTTTAAACAATGTTTCACAGAACCTTATTATGAAACAGATGGCAGTATTGTGGTTGACTGCAGGAAAGTAATGTTTAGATCTCATCACCTGTAACCTTCTTTGTCAACTCTTCTTCCTTCAGTTCAAGTCACCTCTGCAAGTCTTGGAATTTGCTAAATGTGTGTAAGAATCTACTCTAATATCTCCTGGTGGTACTCAGTTTTATAGTTCAGCATCCAACAAACAAGATTACAAACAAACAAGGTTACAGTTGCTTTTCTGCCTGAGGCCCATTAGACCCCGGGATACCTGACAAAAGACATTATCTTTTTAGTTCAAGGGGGGACGAGGAGGAGTTGTCTCCAGTAGACTGACTCTCTGCTATCTTGGTGTTGCCCATATTCACGCGAGTAGATAACAAGAAGCTCAGGGAGTAAAGTGCAGTTCTTGGAACAGCTTGTAAGACTAAGATAATAAAATGGGGGTCAAGTTTAACATTTTAGAGAGCAAGATAAAGTCCTTCCCCTGAGTGCCTGCATTTTGTATATGGTCTTCTTACTTAGGGAGATATCATCTTGTCTCCAGGCTGTGAACATGAGCTTTCCCAGCACAGCCAGAGAGCATGCAGCTATTTTCAAACTCTTCTGTCCCTGGCAAGTCGCACCGAGCCTGGGACCATAGTCACGTAGCCTGGTCCCTAACATAGTAAACTACTGTTCCATATCCTCTGGTCCTCAACCCTTTTCCACTTAGAGACTGGGATCTAAAAGCCTATCTTTGGTTTAGTTGTTCAAAACTCACCAATATAATTGACCTTCTGATAAATTGGCTGGCTAGAGGTGCCAGAAATGTGTCCCTATCATAAAGAAGGACTTAAACAAAGAAGAAATAGTTTCTAAATAGCTAAACTATTTGGAGGAGCATGCTAGAACACAGTGCCCAATAAAGAAAAAAGCTGGGAAATGGAGGCACGGGATGGCCCTGTAAAGAAGTGAACAATATACCTTTCATCAGACACCTTCCTGTGACAGGATAGCTTGAAATTGGGAAAAAATCCTTCTCTGAGGGGAAATGATAAATATGAGTCCACAAGTACCCCCCATTAACGCCATGGACACCTGAAATTTTTGTTGCTGGGGAGTCCTACAGCCCTTTTAGGCTCCAGTTTAGGGAACAGTGAGGGAGTATTCGACACTGCCTCCTTCCAGAAAGGTAACCCAGTCCACACTGCACCCTGCTCCACCCAGGCTGCCAATGCTTTAAGGCCACTTTCA